GTATATACATATATATATATTATATGTACATATATATATATATACATATATATATATATATATATACGTATATACATATACATATATACACATATATATATACATATGTATATATAATATATACATATATACATATAATATATACATATATAATATATACATAAGCAGTTCCTCGTATTTATTAACTTTTTTAAGTTTATAGGACAAAAGCTTTAGTCGTTCTTCTTCAGACACACACATTCTATTATTGGTTTTCTTTTTTTCAAATAATAGACGTTCATAATCATAGACGTCATAGGTGAATCATATTTTCAGGTAAACTGTATTTTCGTACTCTTTTGCCAGCTAATGATAACCTGGCATTTATTCATAATCAAGAACAGTTCGAAATTGCCTATTGAAAAATTTCAAGAAATCCTTAATATATGATGTAGAATTTCTTAAGACAGAAAAATTTTTAAATTTCTAGATTTAAATATGTTTTTCATCATAAATACCTGCAGAATTGATTTTGTAGATTCGACATACGAAAACGTCAGCCTTACGGCAACGTTCGGGTAGCCACGAGTCACTGTCGTCGATTGGGGCATCATCGATTGCATCATCACGAATTTCTAAATACAACTTCGCTACACCACGATCCGTCCAGGTATAAATACTGTTCTAGTTTTGCTATTTTTATTATTATTTATTCTGTTTGAAATTCTACTTCGAAAATACAAATATATATGACAAGTTCTTTGCACAGGTTTTTTGGGAAAACAACTAAAATTTGTTTATTCATGTGTGGTGACGTCAGCCAATGCAGTTTTATAATTTTCGAAAATTGCGCTGTTTATTATGTGAATTCGAATTAAGTCTAAAATTTTCGGTATTGTATATACATGTATTCGTAAACCTTCTCGTTTTACATTATTTAGAAATACAAAAAATTACAGAGGCCATTTATTATTTCGTCAACTAGAGGACAAGAAGATTTATTCAAAGCAATTCAGGTTAGCTAATAAGATGATCATTCGAATAATTCAAATTTTCTTTTAACCTCCTCCGTCTGCGGTTGATTGTTAATTCGTAAAACTTTTTTTGTTTTATTTCAGATTTTCCGGATCATTCTTCTGTGAAAACCCTTGATTCCCTTCTCTTCAAAATGTTCATTCGTTATTACCGAGTTTTCGGGAGTGAGAAAAATCAAAGTCGTCTGGTCATCTGCATTAATTTACAGGAGTCACTGAAAGAGAAGGAAACACATTTGGAACAGATGATCAGAGAACGTGATCTTGAACGGAATGAGATGGCAGCGTTGTCAAATCGTTGTGAATTGGCAGAAGCAAAAGCAACACAACTTGAAAGCACAAAAACTTTAACAGATCAACAACTTGAGGCATTAAAAGTTATATTGGATGAAACTGAAGCAAAATTTAAAGTAGCGGATAACACCATCAACAATCTTACTATTCAGTTGAAGGAAAAGAAAGATGTAAATATTTGTTTGCATAATTATTTCAGTTTAGCAGGACAAAAAAAGTTTCGCAACCTCGGGTATTCGTATCATTTTCTGTTATTTCCTAATTATTTTGGGGCTCAGTTCATTTGACAGATTTTAGGACTTCAGTCCATTAAGTCCATTTAGCTGTTCAAGTTGGTAGGACTGTAAAATTACAGTCCTAAAATTAGAGTCAGTAAAATTACAATAAGTTGGATAAATTATTTGTCAAGCCATAATTTGACGAGATGTTTGCTTAGAGGAATAATTCATCTAATGCAAATGTTAATTTATGGTGTACATATAATACAAGGTCTAGTACAAATGTTATTTTATGGCATACATTTGCAGGCTCTTGAAGACCTAACGTTTCGTTATGATGAGGAAATAATACTGAAAGCTGAAATGGCGGAAAAAATTGCCGAATTGGAAAAAAGAAGTGTTATTAATAAGGTTCGTGTATTAGTTCATATATTATATGTTCAAAACTTTGATTTATTGCCATAGATTCAACAGTATTATTTCGAAATTCGAATTTTAAAGAGCGAGAATGAAGGTACGACTAAGGTAATGATCGGCGAAATGGAAAAAACGAAGTTACAATTGGAAGAATTGAAAAAACAATGCTCCGGTATGTTGCGTCTCTTTTTCTGTATTGTGGGTTATATATGCTGAAAGTTTTATTTTTTACTTAAGTTTATTTTTTGAGAGTGTTGTAGAAATTCATTTGCATCTTTAGCTTTTGAACAAGAAAAGCGTTCGATATGTGCTGGAATGAAAAATATATTATCCATCTATAAACAGGATTTTACGGAGGTATGATGGTATATTATTCTGAAATTTGATATCAAAACTTAAAATTTGCAAAAAGGAAATTGCTGTTTCGCAGATTTCCCCGCATTTTCCAATGCGCAGAGTATTAGAAAGTCCAAACACTTTTTAGTTAATGCAGCTCCTATCACCGAATGATGTTGTCGGAAGTATGGATGAAAATGAAACAGAAGCGACCGATGACGATCGAGATTTATCGAAGCAGTATGTGTTATGCTTACTAAAAATTTTTGTTTCATTTGCCAAGAATCAGTCCTTGTTTACACATGTATTTAGGTTGGAAATCATTATGAAAAAGTTGAATTGTTTGATGGATCACAATAAAGCAATCAAAAAAGCAGTACAAGAAAAGCTTGAAAGTAATAAGGGAGAAATAAAAGATTTGGCTGCTCAGGTATTAGAATAACTTAATATAAAAAAAGATGAGAATATGCTAATCCCATTTTTTTATCTTTTTCCCAAAAATCACTTAATGAATTTGATTCGTAACTAAAAAATTTTGGTAGTGCTTTTCTTGCATCAAATGAAGTATGGTTTGTCTGTTTTGATAATTTTTCCTCTTCTAAGTATAATTTAATTTGGTGGAAGTTGGTACGAATTAAAGTTTGTTTTCATAATATTCAAATTTAGCTTAAAAATTTGAATAAATCGATGGATGATAAGATCGTTAGTACTTCACAAAAGGACGAAGAACTAACAGTATGTCAGGAAACTGTTTATCAGCTAAGAAATGAGCTGGAAAAGTGGGTTTTCTTCGTCATTCTTTCAAAAAAAAATGGAAACAAAGTAGCAGTTTTCTAATGAATATACATTTCCTAATTTTTCAGAGTTGAAAAACGTAGAGCAAAGCTGAAAGAAGCATATGATGCGTTAGAGATATCGAATAATGCTCTCTTAAAAAATTTTGATCACTTAAATAAGAAAAACGCTGAAATGACGGGAAAAGTAAGTAGTATTGATTCAAATAATGTGATTTCATAACAATACCATTCAGCAGAATAAATATAAATTATATAGCACTTACAAAGAAGCGAATGAAGCGAAACTTTCACCTCCTTTTCGATATCCTTGTCTGCTTATTTCATATTGAAGCAGTTTATTCAGGATTGCTTTTAATTTAAATCATATTATTTAGTGTTTTATGTTAATTTATTTCTTTGCACTTCGTTTTATTTACCGTGACACATTTATTTTTTTGTTACAGATAGAGAGTGAAAAAAAAGAACATAGCGCTGAAATCACCAGACTAAATGGAGAGCTACGAAAAGCGCAAAACGATGCCATCCAACTACAGGAACAGTTGAAAAAGTGAACTACTTTTAGCAGTCTTTTTTTATTGTAGCATACCAATATTCGAAACTTATCTTTTTTGTGTTTCAAGTTAAGATATTGAAAAAATGAACTTTTTTTGTGTTTTCAGGATGGAAATTGAGAAAATGGAATTAATGGAACTGCGAGAATCCCTGGAAAATAGCAACAGAGAACTTTTTCTAGATACGAAATCATTGGAATCACAGAAAACTGAATTGGAGAGCGAGGTTTTGAGAATTCGGAATTGGGTTCTGGTCCGGGGAAATATTAAAATTTGCCTTTAATATTTTAATATTTCATTTCTCAATAATATTTTCAACATTTCCACTTTCTTTTCTCAATAATCTTTTCAATATTTTCATTTTTTAAGCTGAGACAGAAGGAATCAGAGAAAGAAATATTAAATTCTTCCTTGACAAAGAAAGAGGTAGAGCTTGCTTCGACAAAATGCAAAATCGATGATCTCACTGGTCAAATCGATAGGTCAGTAACAGCATTTCTTTTGTTAAAATGAAAACTTAATATTGTTTTTCTCATTTCACTGAATCAACAACTACAAAGTTTTGATAAATGGGATAGCAGCTAATAAATGTAGTTAAAACTCCAAATTCATTTATTTGCAGACTTCGTGCCAACTTTTGTGAAGCAAGTTCCAGTGATGAAAGTCTGAAAAAGGAGCTGGAATTACTTCGTGAAGAAAACAAGAAAGAAAATGAAGCGCATATTGTTCAAGTAAGAGTGTCTCTTAGAAGTTTCTTGGATTGTAGTTAAAATTCGAAATTTTATTGTAATACTAGAGGACCTAAGCGATTATTTTCTGTTGACCGTACTCGTTCTTTCTTTCTTTTGTATTATTCTATTCAAGGAAAGAAATACAAACTTTATTGTTGTAGGTGGCACAACTACAAACAACCTTTGAATCTCTCGAAAAGGATTTATTAGCAGCTAGAAATAGCTTCCAAAGCTTAGAAAATATGCATGACGCCCTGAAAAATACATTGGGAAAGTAAGGACAAGGTTTTTTGTCTTTTCTTTTTCTTAATCTTTGTATTTAATAATCTTTATCTGATTCTATTGTCAAATTTGGAAAGAATCAATACAATTGTTATTTACAATTTTTTTCTTTTCCAGAACTCAACTTGAACTTGAGAATTTAAAGGAAGATTTTTCGTTTTCGCAACAAGAATTGATAGCTAAGCAAGAAAAAGTAAGAATTTCGTGGCAGAACAATGAATCTTAAGCCCTTCCGGCGTCCTTCATTACTACTTACTAAGAGCTAAGCAAATCACCATATGAAGTTAAAATTTTACAATTCCATTTAATTGCAGTCCTAGTTAATCATTTTCTGAATGAGCATTGTTCATTTCAGGTAGTCCAATTATTACGATTAGGTTATAACCGTAATAATGAAACTATTTGATCTTTGTCAGGTTACAAAGTTGCAACAGGAGATAGTTTCTTATGTCAGTACTGTGGAACAATTACAAAGGTTGCAAAAAGAAGAAGCTGCAAATCATGCTAAAACTCAATCCAAGTGAGAACTTCTTCGTACACGTGATGTTCTTTCATGAAATATACATAATTAAAACTACTTGTTGCCAAAGTTTCACGTATTTTTTTCGGATTCAAAATTTTGCTTTAAACTTTTGGATTCAAACTTTTTTTTGCTTTCAACAGATTTTTTTTTGAAAACATTTTTTCCACTCTTCTTGGTATGTATGATAAACATAAGGAAGCTTTTACAGTTGTTGATAGGAAGATGCTTGTCATGCAGACAGGTAAGAGGTAATGTTTATACGTAACTTGCGATGACTTCATTTATCAAGTTAACCTCCAAGCTAAGTATTGTCCCAAAATGGCTTAGAACAGAATTTCTTTCAGGTATGCAAAGATTATGATTTATTCAGTTAAAAAATAGTTGAAACTGATAGATTTCAAAAGATTTATTTTGTAGGTTACAGTCAGAGAATAATGCTTTACAGCAAAGATTACGTGATTTGGAAGCGGAAAACGAAACTCTTTTGAAAGAAATGGCCAAATCACAGATAGAGGCAATTTTTTGCTTTAAAAACAAATATTGTAGTAGTTGATATTTTTGGTTTGGGAATGTGTAGAGAGGACGTTAACATTTAAACGTATACACATGTATGAGACTGTAATAAACTGATACTTTTCTGTCGATGAGATTGCAAAGATTTTCAGCATTCCTGATAATTTTTTATTGATTTAAAAGAGAAGGGATCATATTTATAGTTTAATAGGAACAAATTTGCAGAGTGCAAAAGTAGGAGAACGTTACGAAGCACTGACACAGTCATTGAAAGGTCGTATTAGCTTGGATAGTGATTATAAAGAAAAGATGCGAAAACTCGGGGCTGAATTGAAAAGGTTGTTCCCTTCTGATTATTAACTTTAAATCTTTTTTAGAATACATCCAAATTTCTTTGCTAATCATTCATTTCAGTATAACGAAGTGTTTAAGTACTGTTGATTGCAAAGGAGGTTCCTTAGAAGAAAAAATTGGTAATTTGTTGGAGGAAAAAATTCAGCTGACAGATGCAGAAAAGAGATTGGTGAGTTTACATTTTATAAATTTGAGTTACTCAAGTTTAACGTCATCAATTAAACATGAATCAGGGTGGAACAATATGTTTCTGGATTTTAGAAAATAGAAATTGAGAGGTTGGTGGCCGAAAAGGAAAAGCAAGCATCTGATTTAGCAATGAATGCTGTGAAGTTATCTGAGCTTGAACAGGAACGCCATACACTTGCTGCTTTACTAAATAAGTTTGTTTTTTCACTTTGAATCGATAAATTCAAATTAACATATTCCGTTTTTACAAAGATTGAATTCGACACCACATTGTAAAGTTGGCAAGGACATTATTGAATTGTTGTTTGACATATTTCTCCAGAAACTTCAAACAAGCAAAAGTTATCGTTTGCTGGTAAAAGGCGAAGCTGTCCGAGATAATTTTAGCATCATCAGCTCATGGATTTGGCACTCAGTATTATGAGCGCTTTTTTGAATTCGTATATTCAGTTACTTACTATGATTAACTACTTGTTACCTGCTTATTTTTAACTTGTTTGTTTTCTACTTACCCTTTATGTTATTTTAAGTCATTGTGGTGTAAGAAGATGCGCTGAAGTGTAAAATTAAAGATGAAAGCAACGTTTTTAGGCTTTCATCAGATAAATAGATCTTTAGAAAAGTTTTGTCATTCAGTTCAGGTGATTTTAGTCCATGAAGCATTGATTTTCTGGAGCAGCTAAGAGCCGAAGGCTGTACGTACTTTACCAGAGTTGCGAACAAATTGTTTCAAGAGAATGAATTGTCATCTGTGTGCATTACCTAAAAAACACGATCCTTTCACATTAATTTAAAAGTTCACTACAGGGTGGAAAAAGAACGAAACGACAAGGATGTTGAATTGAATGTTTTGAAGATGAAAATGATAAATATTAAAGATGAAAACAAAAACAAAGATGGGATCATAAATTCATTGGAAGCAGAAGTAAATATATTTACTCAGTTGATAATATCATTTATTCATTTTATGAATCAACATTTCTAAGTGGCGGAAGTTGATATATTTGTTTTGATAATATCATGTATTTATTTTATGGCTCAAAATTTCCAAATACTTTGTAAGTAATCCAGAATCATCGCTGTTGTTTTTCATACAGATTACGATGAGTAAAAAAGAAAACGAGAAATTAAGCTTAAAAGTTTCGGAACTTATGGCTGATTTGTCTGTTATCAATGAAAATTCCGTACATGTTGATGGAATTATCCAAAAGGAGGTTTTTTTTTTTTTTTTTTGATGAAGTTTTCAAGACACAGCAATGTGCTACTGAAGATGTTTGTGTTTTGTTGCGAAGTTGGTGTTTCACAAGATGTTGTGAAGATGTTCTATGGTTTCCTTGCTATATGCTTGCTTTTACTTCCTGTAAATTGTAACTTATAGGATGGTATCAGCACCGTCAATATTACACGGAACGAACAGTACAAAATGGAGATCGATGCTTTGAGAGAAGAAAAGGAACAAGCTGTTAATCAGATAAAGTCGCTGAAATTGAAGGTAATATTCTCTGAAGTTAGATCAATTGTAACTTCATCAGAAAATTGTAAAGGACGTATTTTTTTGTTGTCTTTCGTGAGTTTAGTCTTTGAAAACCTAACCAACGAATGAGTTTAAAGACATTTTTGAGGATTGGCTTGTAAATTTTAGAGAAATTGGTGTTTAGTCATGTTTGACTTATCATTCAAGATAGTTCTATTGAGACTTGTGTAATGATGAATTTTGACCGGTTGGATTCGGAAAAAACCCTCACAAAAATAGATGCAGAAAACAAATTATGGTTTGAAAGATTGTTTATAAGATGATTTGGAAATTTGAAAATTCATAAAATTTGGGTTTTTGTCATTTCAGATGTTTGAATTATCGAAGAAACAGGCAGAAAATGAAGAAACGGTTTCAGAAGCAAAACAACGCAGGTCAATTTTATTGCTGCCCTTCCTTTTTTGGTGTTTGATATTTTTGCATTTTGATCTGAAATGTTCTGTTGCAGCGCTTTGTTTGTCGATTTTGAAGAAGAATGGAAAAAAAAAGAAATTGCATATGTGCAGAAAATACAAGAATTGAAGATAGCAACTGGTAAAACAGAAACTGAAAAAATTGAAGAAATGAAACGTGATGTAAGTAAAATAAAACAGTTCGGTCTCTACTCATTGAAGCATTTTTCCATACACTTATAGGAACGAAAAGATAGTCAGTGTTAAATGGGTAAGTTGAGATGGGAGAATCGGAAATTTATCATACTCTTCCATTGAATTTTTTGATTAACAGAGCAATATTTCAAACGTTTGTCCTTTTGCTGAAAAAATAAATATTTTCTGTAGATTTCTACTTTCAAAGTGCTATTAAAAATTTGTATTTTGTCCCCAGTTATATGTAAGATTTGCAGATATCATTTCTCAATGATATCATAGCGGAACAATACAAGAAAGAGAAAGATTTGAAGGAACAGATCGCAATTCTCAATTCACTACCCGCAAATGAAATGTAAATTGCATTTTGAAAAGTGAAAATAAGATGTCAGTAAAAGAACTGCCTCATAATTTATATATTCCAGCTATATTTCGTGGTGTCTTATTCTAAGAGAAGGTTTAAAAAGTGATCAAACTTGATCCTTTATGTTCACATTGCGAGCATTTTTCGATCCAAGCCTTGGTTGTTTGAGCAGTGCCAACTAATTCCAAATTCAGCGAAAGTAATGATAATTTTTTGTCGAGCCATTAAATTTCATTTCACTCAATTGAATGGCCGAACTTCAGAATGACGGAACTTCAACGTAAAACGACACAGAACGTCTCACTGCGATTATATTGTGATATATGTGAAGTATTCGATTTACATGATACCACTGATTGTTCAACACAAGCAATGGATATGGAAGAAGCAATCCGAGACAAAGCCAAAAAGGTGAAACCGCCAGTCCGACCCTATTGTGAGCATTGTGAAGGTAAGATATGTCTTGGCTTTTTTATTTCTATTCAAATCAGAATTTCCACTGATTGGCTATTGTCAGCTTGTATTATCAGTTTGTTTCAAATCTATCTTCAGTCGCTTTTTTTCATTTTTTCTCTGTTGTTATTTCAGAATTTGGACATGATACGGGTAATTGCGCGAAAATGCAAATTGAAAAGCCGAAATCGAAAGATTATACGTTTTGATAGGATCATTTCTAGATTGTGTAAAAATCTCTTCGGTTTGCTCAACTGTAATGAATTTACGATTCTTACTTAATCAGTTATGTGCTAGTTATGTCATAAATGTGAGGTATGGGGAATTTCTGTTGTTTTAGATTTGATTTGTTTGAAGCTCGTTATAAAATTAGAGAAAAATGATTATCTGGTAGATTACTGAAATTCATAGAGTTTTGCATGTACGATTTTTCCTTATCTATGTATTCGGTGTGGCCTTTGTTTATATATATATTTAGTCATTGTTAGCGATATTTCTCATGAGCTTCATTTGTAATATCTTTCGAAAATTTGTAATTTACGTTTTTTTTCCTCTCCTAAATAGAAATTTTCATATATGCTAATCATTCATGGCGATTAGCTTTCGCATTCTTGACAGTTACTAAGGCTTGTAATATATCCCTCGATTTTCGATAAATTTTCACTTTTTTTAACTTAATTTCAGAACTTATCAAATTGTTGTAATAGTGAGTTAGTGAATCTCTTCTAATCTTGATGCTCGATAATTTCCACAATTTCAATTATGCCCTGAACACTCCAGAAAGCGCATAGCAGGCCATACCTTATCTTTGCGCTTAGGTATGCAGTAATTGGTTACCATTAATTTTGTGTAATGCTATACAAAACGCCTGTTTGGAAATTCAACTGTGTATATTTCCGTCAACCCCAATGAAATCTCCATTGGAACTATGTATTTTTCTTTCAGGCTTTATTTTATGATTCGCTTATATTATTTCCAGGTTCTTAGTTAAAATATAGCAATGAGCTGCCCATTTCAACTTTGTAATGTGTTTTATTTTTTTATTTTTTTATTTGTATCTTGCATTATTCACCTGTTGTACATCACTTTTTACTTTTAGATTTAGAATCGATCCAAAAATTGTATTTTTAAGTTATTTAAATAAGATGAATCGATCAACTATAGAGAAAAGGAAAGAAATGCATTCTTATACATTAACACCTAGCTGGATAATAAGAAAGCAGATTGAAAAACTACTGGGTCTGTCTCTTTTTTTTTACAACCGATTTCGAATCCTTATTTTACTGGTTTAGTGAGATCAGATGATCTACGATTAAATGATGTCGAAAATAACGGATTCAATAGTCTGACACAGTGATGATATTCGATAATTCAGAAAAAGGCATAAAACTTATTAGTCTAAACGATGGTTCTACTTTTCAGGCTTATATGGGGCAAAGTAAATTTAAATATTTCAAATAATGAAAAAATGAAATTCATCACTACCCAAAATATGATGCTCAAGATTTCATGCAACACGTTCTTCAGTGATACGTGGGTTAATGTCAAAACGACTCTTTTCGTCTTGGATCCTTTTGATGTCATATCTGGCAGAATGCATTAGTTGTAGTTGAAACGTCCATTCATCATAGGTTACACTTTGCGGGAAATATGCTCAAGTGAAGTAAATTTAAAAATAAAAAAAGTCACCTACGAATTGTTTAAATTTTTTTCCCTACGAAGTTAATATTCTTATCTTGAATGCACGACTTACATTTTTCTACGTTCGTAATGGTAACAATGAAAAGATTAAATACATATTCAATACCTCATACTACATTTGAAAAGATTAAATACATATTCAATACCTCATACTGCAATAATAATAATAATAGTAATTAATAATAATGGTTAATGATAACAATAATTAATAATTATTGATAATAATAATAATAATAACAATAGTAATAATAGTAGTAATAATGATAATAATAATAGTAATAGTAATAGTAATAATAATAATAATAATAATAATAATAATAATAATAATAATAATAATAATAAT